AAATTAGTGGAAATAAATAGGTATAATAATTTACTTTAAAAAAAATCTTTTACTAGATAATGAATTTCCACCTTGTAACAGCCGATTCAATAAAAAAGACATTGTTGTTTTCCAAGAATTGTTTTTTTTGTTTAAGTTTTTCCTTAGGATATGATGCAACATCCGGCGGAAACACCGGTGTTGTAGTTTATCAGTTATGACGCAATTACATCACATGAGTATAGTGATTTCCGGTTAAACGCGTCCTAATTTTAAAAATTTTTATTGACTTTTTTTTCAATCGGAATGTCGCAAGAGTCTATCAATTGGAGATATCGAACTCTGACATCCGGTCGCTTAGCGCTTGTGTTGGTAAAAAATTGTTATGTAATTTGAGTTGAGCTTAAAAATTTCGTCATTTTTTATTTATACTATTTTTATACGGAATTAGATGCTGGATTGCTAGGAGATTTAATAAGTTGAGATTAAATTACTTTTCTAATTAAAATGACTACAAAAATGCTTTTACCAATTGAGTTTAGTTATATTTTCTGGGATTCTAGTACCACGAAATTTTTAGGGTCGCCACAGTACTGTTTGTAAAAAGAATCCTGAGCCTACCGGTAGGTTCATCATATTCATATTGATTCAAGAATCTGTCGTCTACCTATTGTGCATGTGCATTAACATTAACGTTTGGATAGATGATAGATATATTTGAAAAGGCTTTTCCACGTTTTTGGAGGATTTACGCTTCCGAGAATCTCCTCTACGAGGTTTGGCGAGCGCAGCGAGCAATCGAAGAATCAAAAATATGTAATTTCAAGGTTGCCGTCTAGAATGAAGCAGATTCCAAACATCAACAAGTTTAACGCCCAAATTAGAGAGATGTTAGGTAACGGGTGTCAAGTTATAAAGTACCTACCACCCCTTGTAACTGTTTTATGTACGATCGAAAATAAAAAAGTTACAGAGGGTTACAGTGGACGAATTTCTTAATGACAATGGGTTTCGTGCGGCACGTGACCACATTGGAGGTATTTGGAGGTAACATAACCTAAAAGTTTGTGTACTTTTGAAATTTCGCCGTCTAGCCCTCCTAATCCTTTGAAAAGTTGTTTCTAATTGAAAAATAATTCACTTCCTAGGATAGTATATGTAGACTAGGGTCAAAATACCCTCGTATTGTGCCGTTGTAGGATGTAAAAACAATGCCGCCGAATATACAGTATGAACGTAAATAAATGTCTTTATAAACTATTTAAACAGCAAATCGAACAACAATATAACTAAAACACCGAAAAAATATCAAAAGAAGAAAGCATGACACTCCAACTCCATATAAACAAATCGGATAAAGTTAGTTTTAGTTTGTCTTACCTGCAGAGTCAATTTAGTGATGTCACGTGCACGAAAGCATTTCTACAAACGCATTCAGCTAGCAAGAGCTGACTGGTAGGATATCCGTATTAACACCTTCCAGTAGGCACTTGATCAATTGACAAAAAAGGACCTACTAATAGCAGGCGCTCAATCAGTGGATGAAAAAGGACCCTACTGGTAGACGTACGATCGTTGGATGACGTAGGGTTCACTCCCCATTAAGGCGATTTTCAGCAACCAATGCATTTCCGCTGTCGCGGTTTTTACCTAAGTAGGGGAAGTTGTGACGTCACAGATTAGCTGATTTGCTTTTGGTATTTACCACTTATATAACCGATTATAACCCAGCTTTGAACTTGTGTTAATCTTTAGGTTACAGCTTTTTGATGTTATTGTTTTGGCGATTGGTATATTGGTGTTTTGTGATTTTGCAGTTGTGTTGTGGCCTGGCACAATGAAAGAAGTATGACTCTACTCTACACTCACTGCAACTTACCATGCTTAGAATTTAGATCATCTCCAAAGAAAATCTCTTCGAATAACGAGAGATTCCGCTCCATTTTTTGTACGTAAACAAGAAACCATTGTTGAAACGAAAAAAAAACAAATAAGAATAATAAACATAACCGTACACTGCTATAACCAAATCACTTCAGCGGTCGGTTCCTTTGGTTATGATTCTTGAATGGTGGGGGGCTATGACATCACACTTGACTTTCAAAGTTGTCAGTCAAAAGAATAACCACGGTATTTACCGATGACCGATGCATAATCATTCCAGCAGTGTTACCAATGTGTGAGCATTTGCTCACATTTGTGAGCATTTGATAGATCTGGGAGTAAAAATGGGAGCATTGGCAAGATGTGAGCATTTTGTGGGCATATTTGGTATTTATTAACCGAAAAAAATAAATTAAATTCGTCCTAGCACGAGAGCCATGTCATAACTCGTGGCATAGCAATGAGCATGCGCCCAACTATTTAGAAAAAAATTATGTATGTCACGTCACGTGTCATTCAAGAGGCCATTTTAGAAACGCTGATTCCATCCAAGGATGATACACACTCACTACTACACCCTATTTTTTCCCAAGATAGATTTTGACATTGTCAACTTTGTAACATAAACAATACCGCGTGGCTCTGATTGGTCGCAAAATGCCGTGTCCCTGCAGGTGAGGTATCCTTTTACATTGGTGTGCAGGTACACGGCATCTCGCAACCAATAAGCGGCATTGTTTATGTTTCAGAGTTGTCATTGTCAAAATCTATCTTGGGAAAAAATAAACTGTACTACAGGATGGCATGGCTTATCCTCATAAGGCCTGTGTGTAACAAATCCCCACCACGCCAAAATACCAGTTGTGACGTAGACAGAATGTAGTTTCTAGGCTTGACGTAGGCTTTTTAAACAGCTGACGACTTAGTTATGACGTCGGAAATGGTATCACACCAATATGGCGGCCGTTGCCAAAAACGAGGCTGATAAGCACTCCTTATGCCCCATTCTCACTTGCGCGAAATTCGCTTTTTTTTGACATTGCATCGACAAATTGACTTTTGATACATGCATAAAACGTCAAATTGTCAAAGATATCCCCTGATTTTTATTCTAATCGGTGACTTCACCGATGAGTTAGCTATCTTCGTTTAGTGAATGGAAAATGACAATGACCGACATAGAATGGTGGATCCATCGGTAAAATTTGATGAGAATAAAAACGCAGGGTATGTCAAAAAAGAGCGAATTTCGCGCAAGTCAGAATGAGGCATTATGCATCATTTTCACTTGCGCACAATTCGCTTTTTTTGCGCGAAATTCGCTCTTTTTTTGACTTTGCTTCGACAATTTGACGTTTTATGCGTGTATCAAACGCCAAATTGTCGAAGCAATGTCAAAAAGAGTGAATTTCGCGCAAGTGAAAATTAGGCTTTATAGTGTGTATTCTCCTTGGATTGCAACAGCCGATCACCAGCTGTTTGTTATTTATCTTTTTCTAATGAACACGATTGAAAAAAGACAATGTACATCAGCCTGGTGATCCCGTAGTAAAATGTCAAATGTCATAGGTACTTGGGCGCGTTCACAGTGGTTTACCCTGGGTAAAACTTAACCAGGTTAAATATTTCACTGGTTGAAAAGGATGCGCTTGGGATGACAAATCTGTGAACGACTAACGCCTGCGCCATAACGAGGTAGGATTTGATTTTGTTTTCCTTTTGTTTACATAGGTTTTGTTTCGAATGTTTCGAGATGGATCTGGGAATAATATTTTTTAAAAGTACTATTGAAACTTCTTCGGATTCGTCTGATACAGAGGACGACGTCAGCTATGCTGTAGCAGAAGCAAGCTGTGCAGAAGCTGCATCTGCTAGCGCTAGCAGTTTAAGTTTCAATCTTGAAAAAAGGCATATTATTTGAAAGACAGGATAATTTTATGGCAAGAATACGCAAAATTTTAGAGTTTCCAGAGAGGCTTTCAACTGGCTTCCGAAAACTTGAAAACCAGTTAAAGTCGGCAATGTATGGCCCATAAAGATTACCAAGAGTATTGTTTATCAAATTTCAAATATTCTTGTAAAACGCCTGCGCGACAAATTTTACCCATGTCTCAGAGTGGGTTAAAAAGTTGTACAACCGAGTTAAGTTATCATGGCTCTGTGAACGGAGCGAATATTTTAACCGGGTGAATTAGGTAGATCCGTGAACGACTTAACCCTGCAAAAGACGCACTCGGTGGGCGTCCGGCGTTCGACTGTGAACGTACTCCAGAAAACTGGAAAACTCGAAAACTATTGACATTTTGAGATTGACGTTCTTTTTAGAGTACATGTGAGCACAATTTGAGCGTTTTCACTACAAATAGGGAGCATTTGATAACTTTCCGTTGGCAACACTGCATTCCAGGCTTAAAATCGCCTATAATAGGCAAAGAGGAAGATGAAAATGAGATCTTAAAAAGAGTTGTTTTATTTTAGAATGCTAATAATTATTGCAGTAAAAGCAAGTATGCATAAAGCAAAAGCCCGCGGAATCATAACCTGTAGTGCAAACAGCCTACGTCAAGGCGAGAAAGGACATGCCTTCTACGTCACAACTGGTGATTTAGCGCAGTTAGGGGGTTTCAGATCTGTTTCACACAAGCCTTATGAGGATAGGCTAAATGGTTGGAGTTCGGGTTTGAGCACTTCAGGCGCAACAAACACTTTTCAAAAGAAATAAGCACGTAAAGCTCCGGAGCTCCTCCTAGGTGTGAAAGGAATACAACTAATGAGGTTCTGTGCTCTCAACCAAACGTAACAGAGTACCTACCTATAGGAGAAGTTATTCAAGAACCACACAAGCTACCCATCCGTGGTAAAGTTGGCTACCCCCATCAGGACCTGTAAATATGTATAGAACTTTTTCAGCTTTTTTTTGAAAAAAAAAAAGCTTATAAGAATAATGTTTGCCTGTAAAATTTTATTGATTGTAACATTTTTAGCTGGTTTAACCCTGATAAACTAATAAATGTATCGTTTTTATTCCCAAACCAAAGTACCGCCTATGGCCCGAGCTTCGAACACCGGGCCTCTCGCGAAAGGTCGAAGGCCCGGATCCCTCCCCACCAGAGGCAGTCCCCTGGCTGATGGCGTGGTTTGTTCTTTAAGTTCGGCCTGTTCTGTGCGTGTGTGTGACCCTCTACCGCCCAATTTCGATTTTTTCTTCAACAAAACTTTCTACAATAGTGCAACCGATTACTAATTCATCGGAAAAAACATTAGGATTATTGTGTTTAGTGACAAATAAACAAAAAAATCAAGGACATCTAAATTAAAAATTGTAAACGCGAGAAAGCAGGCGCGCCTGAGTACAGTGGCGCCTCGCAATACTTGCGTCATCAACTTTTATAGGGGCTTTGTTCTTGCTTTGCAACAATTTATAAAATCCAATTCGCAATTTGAATAGACGATGTCCGAGGCCGAGAATGAGCGCTGAGAATCAGCCTACTATCGCTATCAAACCCGAATACGTCGTCGAGAACCCACCGTTACAGGTAAGTCCTCTATGGATGGGTTTTGGTTTCAACAAAAGGGTGGGCCGATTCGTGGGTGTATCTCGGTCCGGTTTGGGCGGAGGTCGGCGGCGGCGGTCTCGGCCTTCCTATGATTTTGTGCGGAGCTCAAAAACGGCTCATCGAAATACATACAACACAGTCTAGAGAGGAAGGGTGGCCTACTATGGCACTTTAATTTCCTATGGGGTAGGGCTTTCTGCCTGGATGTGGTCCAATAAAAGATTCACGATCCGCCGACCCCCTTTTTCAACTATAAAAATCGGGTTTCGTTCAACGATGACGTAATTGTTGTTGATCCGCCACATGTTTTTTCCATTCCCAGCTCATGCATGATAATTATTGATAAAATGAGTTTGTTTATCTCACAATTTCGTTGGCACTAGAACGGCTTTTATTTTATTATTTTAACGTCTTTCAACTATAGTAGTTTCATATACTTAGGTAGTCCAATCTTATTTTACCCATAATTAAGTTGTAAAAGAATTAAGAATGGCAGGGTTATAATTTACCTTCGAATTTTATACCTGTTGGTTAAGGTTAAGTGAAAATCTTCTTCATCACCTTTTAAATTCGACTTTTATACACAAAATTTTATACTTGTTTGAGTTTGAAAAGACAGAATAATTATTACCTATATAGTCTGGGGGCAGGCGTACTATTTTATAAAACAACAAAATCCAAGGAATATTTTTATTGTAATAATTTATTTTCAAAGACTGAACTGTGAAAAAATACCTATAGGTAATATTTTCAAAAGTATGATTTATTTTTTTAAATTTCCACCAGTGGCGTTCGTACGGAATTTGCCTGCCTATTTTGGCAGACTGAGGACTGAGTCATTTGACATTCATGATACGCCACTGATTTCTCATTATTTTTGAAATCCCTAATCATTTCCAAGCAAAGTTGACCACTTGATTTTTCCCAATCTGGTGCACAGTTTTCGGACAGCTTAGTTTTCGCCGAGGTTTTCGCTTGAAAAAATAAAAACCGTTTCTCTGCATCATCATAACAATACGAGTAACAATATTATCGTTAAAATGACTCATCAAGCAGATAAGTAAATTTTATTTGTTTATAGGTGGAAGCCCTGGGTCAGGTTATGAAAAATCAGCTTTACTTGAAAATGATTGGGGATTTCATAAATAATTTTTATTTTAAGAGAAATCAGTGGCGTACCATCAATGTCTGCCATAATGAGCAAATCAAATTCTGTACGAACGCCACTGGTGAAAACAAAAAAAAGAATAGGTATATTAAAAAATGTCTCTTGGTAGATAGTACAGGGTGATCTATTATAAAAGTCACCCCCTACTAACAGACAGAAGTGTAAAATAAGTACAAAAGTTAAGAAATTGTCAAATGTTTTTAACTAAAACCGAATTTTCGCGACGAACAACCCCCATGATTTCATGAACACAAACGCTTTCGCGAGAAACCATGACGTCATCTTGAACGTAGTTCGTCGGAAGCATGGACGCAGCTTCTAGCGAGCGTTCAAACCCATGACGTCACAAGACGAACTGTGGTTCGTCCTTGAATGAACTACACTCGTCGCGAAAATTCGATTTAAGGGCGGGTATTATAAAACTACTTTGAGAGTTAACTTAAAGTTAACTTCTGGAATTACATGTAATTCAAAAAGTTAACTTCAAGTTAACTGTCAAAGCAGTTTTATAATACCCGCCCTAAGTCAGGGTCAAGTATACTGGGTGCGTCAAATGATAGTTTATGAAAATCTAAGATGGCAATATAAAATCGGTTTTCTTCTAAAATTAACCGTTAAGGTTTTACAGCCTGTCAAAGTTGCAAAAAGTCAATTTTCAACTGTCAATATTTCCAAAACAGCTGAAGTGCGTTTAGAAATGGACTGTGAGGGTAGACTAGTTGTTTGTCAGAGTATTCTGGGTTGCGTTTAGAAATAGCACTCTGGATGTGACAGTAACCCTAACTAAAGTAACTCTAAACCATTCATAAATTGCCAGGTGCTTATTCGAAGCGTTACGCTGGAATCGTTCAGAAATCGAGAGTTGACGCGCCCGGGCCTTATTCTGTAAGAACGAACCGTTCGATTCCGTAGAATTTCTTCGATTGTGACGTCATTTTCGGAATAACTTCCGCGCTAGTAAACCGTAAATGACATCACGATCGAAGAAATTCTTCCGAATCGAACGATTCGTTCTATACAGAATAAGGCCCCAGAGTATGTCCAAATTACCCCACTCAGGGACTGGGTCAAAAACGACTCGTGGTTTTTACCGAGTTTGACGTTGACATTCACCAGAACGCCCCGATACGTTCAGAAACAGCGCGCCCAGAGTGCACTCCAGGTGATGACGTCAGAAGTGCGTTTAGAAATGAAGTGTGAGGGTAGACTAGTTGTTTGTCAGAGTGTTCTGACGTGTCAGAGTGTTCTGACGTCATCACTTGGAGTGCACTCTAGGCGCGCTATTTCTGAACGTATCAGGGCGTTCTGGTAAATGTCAACGTCAAACTCGGTAAAAACCACGAGGCGTTTTTTAATCCAGTCCCTGAGTGGGGTAATTTGGATGTACTCTGGGCGCGTCAACTTTCGATTTCTGAACGATTCCAGCGTAACGCTCCGAGTAAGGGCGAGTTCTCATGAGCGTAAGTTGACATTTCTGGCGTAATCACGTGATGAATTGGTTGGATTTTATTGGTAAAATATTCGCCATGCTGGAGATTTTACCAATCCAATTACACCATATTATCACGTGATTACGCCAGAAATGTCAACTTACGCTCATGAGAATTCGCCCTAAGGGCGGCTTCTCATGAGCGTAATTTGACATTTATGGCGTGACAGCTTACCTGAATGCAGAATTCTGATTGGCTTAAATCCCGCCATATTGGATACGCTGACACTCTGCCGCAGATACGCCTAAAGTTGAGCAAAGTTCAACTTTTCGCGTAAAAATTCAGCGCTTTTAGAGGTTAAGATTGCAACCGTTTCGTTTTCTTGATTTTTGTGATTTACTGTCCATATTTGTAACGATTTGGATCTGAAGCAAAAACAAATACAAATTTGTACAATCAAAATTCAAAGAAATATTTCAAAATTTAGAAAAAAAATATAATTTTGACATACGCGGCGGCGTAAATTCTCCACTCCATGTGAATGTTGCGCCAAAATTCACGTATTCAGCATTTGCGCCAGTTATGTCAAGTTTACGCTCATGAGAAGCCGGCCTAAGCACCTGGTAATTTATGAACGGTTTAGAGTTACTCTGGGGTCACTCTCACACCCAGAGTACTATATCTAAACGCAACCCTGAGGTTAGATATAGGTTATATCTGCTCAGAATTTTACCTAGAATCCAAATATGGAATCACATACAGGGTGTCCCTTTAAAATAAGCAAGTTGACATCTACTTCATTCCGTTATAACCGGAAGTACCACTATCTTGAAAATATTCTAGCTGGATTGCCCCCATTGACATTAAGTATACAGTCAAATTTTCAAAAAATTTCTGCATACAGTTTTTCATGTATAGATCGATTTGGTTCCTGGTGGGACACCCTGTATATATTTATGTTTGACTTTAAAAAAAATATTCAAATGTACAGGGTGTTCCGTTTAAAAAAATCGTACTTATATGTTACACTTTTTTGACACGACACCCTCTGTATATGCGCAAATACAAAAAAAAACAAATTAATGATTTAAACCCTACAACTTTTGTGTTTAACTTTTTGTCATAAAATATCGAGTAGAATATCTAGATTTCCATATACCGAAATAGGACAAAATAAACAGGCCTCCCTTCCCTGTACACGTATGCCAAATTTCATTAAATATCTGAAGTGGTGTTGAGTAACAGATATCAATTAATAAATCATCTAGAGGGTAACCTAACCTCAGGAATATTTGGCGTCCAAACATTTCCAAATATTATCCATACATTATTCAAATATACAGGGTGTCCTTTTCAATTGATTGATACCACTATTGCTATCTCCGAAACGGTAAGGGGTACGAGGTCGGTTGAATTGAACAAAAGTGACAGATTTTAGTATCCATTGAAAATAATGGGTTGCCAAATTTTTGTTCGTTTTCAAGATATAAGGGAAAATGTAAAAAATGCCTAAAACTTAATGAATACATATTTCAAAATTTACCAACTTCAGAAAAAAGTGTTCAATATACAAAAGTTTCAAGATTTCTTCTTCTCTACACAATTGCGTAATTTTCATTCTCACACGGACGGCTTCTAGTTGTGTTTACATTTTCCCTTATATCTCGGAAACCGAAAAAAATTTGGCAACCCTGTGAACTTATCTTCAATGGACACTAGAATCTAAGGATAATACACAGTACACTACTACTACAGTTTACCTTATCCTTCCTCATAAGGCCTGTGTAATTCAAATCTCAAGCCCCCCATCCCAATGCCAAAGTACCAGCCATGACGTAGACAACGTGTCGTTTCTCGCCTTGACGTATGCTGTTTGCACCACAGGTTATGATTCCGCGAGCTTTTGCTTAATGCATACTTGGTTTTATTTAGTATATTAATTAACATTCTAGAAGAACCCTTTTCTAAATCTTGTTTGCATCTTCCGCTTCGCTTATTATAGCTAGGTTCGGTATTTGCATCTGTGGACAAAATGAGCAAAATTAGGCAGATGTCACGTGATTTGACACATGAAAAAAGATAAGTGAACGCGTGACGTCCGTCAAAATTTGCTCTTTTTGCTTACCACAAATGCAATTACCAAACCCAGCCTGAGGTTCTGGGGGGGGGGGGGGCAGACCAGATGCGGTGATGCCCACAGGAGGCGGACATTTTTTTGAGGTGCCACGCCCAAAAGTCGTTAAGATCACACATCCTGATGGCATCACCAAAGCTGTAAATGATTTAATTTTGAAAACATTATCATCCTGTATCTCAAAAGTTAAGACGTTTAGGACATAAGTACTACGTTCATAATATGAAGCTTCCTTCTCGAAACGGAACCAAAAATCGCCCCCTTAAATATTGACATTCAATTAAAAAACACCCTGTATAGTACTAAGCGTGCTGCGTGCTGCCAAACTCAATTACTAACGGAAATTAACAATACTTTATATTTGGGCATAATTTTTGAAGGGCCTTTCTGTTGCCATAAAAATATTTTCCATTGAGCCCCTAGAGGCCGTTTATTCTCATCGATATTAGGAAAAAAAGTGCTATTTATACCACCGCCAAATTAGTCAAACATTGAGCCGTGGTATGAATCAAGTGTAGAGTGCTTTTACTCTATCTATGTCTCTTTTTGCTGGCTGCATTGAAGCTGAATATGTTTATCTCAAAAAACTTTTAACCAAAAGCATTTGCTTCTGTTTTATTTACATGAGCCATTATACAGGTGTCCCACGACGTTTTTCGCAGGTAATAACATCGGAACGCGTCATCCAATATAATTGAAATTTTGAATATCTGGGTAACTTTTTGTGCCGCTCCTACCATTATCATCCAATTTCACCACTTTCACTTCAATTTCTCATGCTATATTATGGCATTTTTTTATTAGAAAATAAAATTACAGAATCGGCAATGCCATATTTGTAAGGGCTTTGTTGAAGAAAATGATAAACAATTATACAGTGGAACATACGATGATGCGTTCCAAAGTTATCATTTGGAAAAAACCTCGTGGAACACCCTTTATAGAGTGTTTTATTGGTTTTACCTATGTCAAGATTTGGTTGAGTTGTATGCCTTATATGTACTTTTGAAGGGCTTTCTGCTACCATAAAAATAATTTCTGTTGAGCCTCCTAGGAACTGTTTAGTCCAAGGTTTACTCTTAACAAATTTAGAAAAAGAAGTGGTACCTAGAGCTATACAAGGTGTCCGGAATAACTTGAAGTACATAGGGATGTAGGTACTTGAAAACCATTGAAGATATACAAGGTGGACCAAATGGGAAAAAGTTGCGCAATCTAGTGCCTACAAATAATCTGTCATCAACTTCTTTGAGTTGGGAATAGCAACGGATACACAGAGCAAAAAAAGGAAGAAAAAAGTGTGTTTTATAAAATCCTTTATATCTTATTTATTATAAAATATACAACATACAATCAAGAATTTTAAAGAAGTTGATAACAGAGTATTTATAGGCACAACTTTTTCCCCATTTGGTCCACCCTGTATCATCAATGGTTTCCAAAATCCCCATGTAATTCAATCTATTCTGGGCACCCCGTATATCAAAGTGTTCTATTCATAATATAGAAGTTGTAAATTATTTATTTTTAAATAAAAACATAAGTACATATTGTCCGTCGTTTTTGATCCGATACTTTCCTTATGAGGAGCGAGGGGGTGAAGTATATGGCAAAAAAAGGCGTGACGTCAGGTGACCATTGGGGTTCTAATGTAGGGTGCCATCAGCTCACATTCCTTTCCAGTATCAGATTAAAATCGACGGACTTCACCTAGGTACTATTTAATAACATGTAGCCACTGTAATTTATTTATTTAGCATTAATATTCTGGATATTTTAGATTCCTAATATAACTAATTCATAATGCTCATCAAATTTTAACTGATTAAAAACTACCAATTTTAAGTCGACATCATTCTTCCAGGATCAACAAGGCGACCTCCTCAAACCAGTACCGCCATCGCCGTTGGCCCTTCTGGCGGCCACTTGCAGTCGAATCGGCGACATTCCTGCGCATCACATACAACTATCGAGCAACGGAACCGTCACCATGTCCACGACTCCAACGCCGCAGAACCAAATCAAGCAACAACAGCAAGGCGTCACTGTGCAGCAGGCTGCGCAACAACAACAACAGCAACAACAACAACAACAGCCACAGGTAACTATTTGTTCGTGACTTTTCTAGAATAGTTCTTACAACATTCGAGAACAATTTACATTTCTTAATATAAAAGGTAAAACAAATATTCCGTAACTAGTGTTGTAGTTGTATCTAAGTTGCTCAATTTGAAAGATAAAACATTAGGTATCCTATTTTTTCAAATTATACGTTTATGAAAAATTTTTGGTTTTTTATTAGAATTTTTCCAACGAGCCGCAGGCGAGTGTTAAAAACTCTTATGAGTCAAAAAAAGAACTTGTAAAAAACCCGCAAAAACTTGAAAAAGGAAATTTATACTTTACACACAAGTGTGTAAAGTTCAACTTCATACACGGTAGTAGAAAAAAAGTTTGTGTTTAATCATTTATTTTTCACAACCTTGTTTTTAAAAACTATTTATTTTATTAAAAACTAAGAAGTTACAACAAGAAATACTAGACTCTATTTCTGTATCTCTATCTCAAAAGAAAAGTGGAAAATATAATAATATCATCCATGTAAACTAGACATATTTTGTTTGTAAACCTATTAGTACGTTGTCCATTACTCTCTAAAATGTTGCTGGGGCATTTTTTAATCCAAAGGGCATACGGTTAAATTCGTAATGTCCATTTTCTAAATTAAAAGCTGTTTTACTTATTGAGTTCGGATGCATTTCAACTTGGTGGAATTCAGAAGCTAAGTCTAGAGTAGTAAAATAATTACTTCTTCCAAGTCTGTCGAGAATGTCTGTTATATTTGGTAATGGGTATCGATCGTTTATCGTTTTTTCATTGATTTTTCTATAATCTACGACCATTCGCCATTTTTTTATGCCTGAAGCATTTAAATGTGCACTAACCCTTCCAATAGAATTCGCTATAAGAGTCTCTGACAGTTTGCAAACTGTCAGAAACAATCGCTCTGCAAACTGTCAGAGACTCTTCTGAGAACAGACCTCTGTCTACTTTTTTCTGACAATTGACAGCAGATCAATGCTTTAAACGCTAACTGTCAAAAAAACAATGCAGCAACTATGCGATTTTTCCAGGTCGTGAGTGTCCCAGTGGGCGGCGTGACGGCTCAACAATTGCAGCAACAGCTGCTGCAGCAACAGGCCGCCAATCTGGTGGCGGCCGGACAAAATTTGGCGGGCTACAGCGTCGTGCAGGCGCCGACCGGCGTCCAGGCGCTGAGCGTCGACGGACAAGAAGCCATTTTTATACCGATGAGTTTGGCCGGTAAGAATCATTAGTCAGTAGTTAGTAGTAGAATCAAAAACGTCAATTATTGTATTTCTATCTGTTTCTTTAACATGCTGTCCATGCTGAGAGAAAGAGATGGAAATACACTCAGTACGCAAAAAATTATCAATCTGGTGCAAATCGTGATGAGTCGCGAGAATTCAAATATTTAAATTCACGCCTATTAGATAAATCATTAGGTATTTATCTAAATATCATTAGATAAACTTGCTAGTAACTATCTGCAAGATAAATTTACCGATCTATAATCTTATCGGTCAGCGAATAATTGACCATAACCAATGCGATTACGTTTGTATCCGACAGATTATATTACCTGACCCTGACAGTTTATCAGAAGATGAATAAATAGGCTCTTATGGTCAATAAATTGGAATAGACTCACTGATTTTATTCATAAATTTGCATTTTAACAAAATCATTATATACCGAGCTACTTAATTTTCGACTACCTGGAGTTGCCCTTTAAGAACCACCCATGAGGCAGACCCTTTCTAGGAAACATACCCTTGTAAAATGCAACCCTAAACCTTAGGGGTGCGTTCGAGAATCTGGTTCTAGGTGTGAAATTTACTTAACTGAACCAAGCCAATTATACTGATCTAGCTCTAAGTTTTCGAATGGTCTACTTTTGGTTGGTTTTGAAAACGATGCAAAACGTTCCTCGTTTAAATTCGAATTTAAAGGAAAGAAGTGTTTGTGTTTTTTTTGCGTGTTGTAAGCTGAAACAATTTATTAGAATATTTATCAATAATAATTGATGAATTTGTATAAAAATGTCTGAAGAAAGTGAAAGACTAGTGATAAATGACGATACGCTTTTAGAAGGGTTGGAAGCAAACCAGCCTATTTCCGCCAATGAGCCAGTAGATGAGGCTGGAGAAGGGACAATATCTGAACATTCGATTTCTGAATTTCTCGTTCTTCAAAATCAGAATAACAATAACACACAAGGTATTTATTTTAATGTGAAATAATTGAAACAGTACTTGGATTGAAAGCTCAGAATTTCCCCTTTAAGAAAGGCAAAAAGCCCTTCCTTTATTAATTAATTTTTGGAATTTTTAAAATTCTTATTTATTGAATTTTTTGTCTATGTAGTGAAATCAATTGCATGCCTTTTAGGTATTGGGTATTAGTAATTTTTTATATTTGAGTTATTTGACATTCATTTGAGGTCCGGTTGATACATCTTCAGATAAACTTACTGCAAGATAAATTTAGCAATCTATTCTCGTATTAGTCGTATTGGTTGACAAATAACTGGCTGACCAATTTGGATTATAGATTGCGTTTTATCCGAGGTTTTATCTGTCAGATTGCATCACTTGACAGTTTAGTTTATCAGAAGTTGAATAAGCTCAGCCTAAGTTCTCTTCTAAACCTTGGATAACCCGAGCATATTATTTTACTTCAGTAATAACAATAATGATTCAAAGTTAGAAAAATTCATTTTTGGATTTTTGAAAAATCTCTGTATTGAATCCCCATTCTCAAAGAATAAAAATCTTTGCATTTTTAAAGATTTCTGTTAAATGTTTTTCAGTCTTAAGAATCTCTGGTGGATTTTGTTGTTTGAGTTATGATTTCCAGAGATTTTTGTTGAATGCTTTATTATTCTCAAAAATCTCTGATGAATATTTGTGTAGTTTCTCATTTCTGTTTCTCATTATCAAGGATTTTCTTCTGAGCTGGTTGCCATTCTTGAGAATCTGTTTTGTAATTTTCAATTTTTTCATTCTGAAGAATCTGTTGAATCTTGTACCCATTCTCAAAATCTCTGCATTTTTAAGGATCTATGTTTTTCTCAAGAATATCTTGGTAGATTTTGTTGTTTGAGTATCTGGTATCTGATTCTCAAATATTTCTGTTAAATGTTTTCCCATTGTCAAGAATTCATCTTGACAGATAAACCCCTCAGAGTAACACTACATAAATAGAGAGTGCAAGTCATTCATAAAATCGCTTGGTTACTGCGGCCAACAATCCTAAACGACAATAGTGGATGAACTACATGGAGTGGGGATAAGATTGCGGACAATGCGGACCAATTACAAACAAAATCCGTTTGACATTTCTTACTATGAATACTAGGGCGCATTCGCGAATATGGTCTGGCAATATTTGCATCCTTCTTTATCTGGTTATGTTAACAAAGATAAAACGATTCAGGTGGGCCTTCTAGATGAATACAACCAGGTTCCGAGATTTTAGGCAGCATTGCGATTTTCAGCTAGCACAAATTCCTATTCAAATTTTATTGTGATAATAGTAGACTATTATTTTATATAATAATTATTCCTATTCAATTTTGGAAAGCACCGCGATATTTTATGTTATAATTGTATATACATATACCTATCTAGGTTTTTATATTTACGATATTTTTTTTCCAATTCCATTTTCCCTGCAACTTAGGACAATTTATAAATATGACACGTCTGCAGTAAGGGTCCGCAAGTCATCTTAGAATGGGAGTCAATGTTTGGGGCATCTTTTAATCATAAACCTATCTATTTCATGTGTTTATCTGAGGATAAACCATTAATTAAGCGTCATTTGTCAACCAATTAGGCATTCCAAATCACATGACTTTTGACATACAATATGGCCGGTCATTGGCACACAAACCCATTAAACTATAGGGGACAGATGGAATTTTAATTTAATTTAGCCCTATTTACATGCAAAATTTACCTGTGGAGTAGGGAAAAGTAATTAAATAGGTGTCAACGGAACTGATAAGGCTCGGATAATGGTTCCTTGTTTCGCGCTACATAGAAATTATTATTTTCCAAAAATGGCAAGTTCAGTATGGTTACAGTAAAAGTGGATATTTATAGGCTGTTCATTTGTACTTGTTCTACCTGCTCGAAAAAATCAGGTAGACCTGCTAAGGGACAAGTGAACTCCGATTTGCTGCTAAGATCTGCTTGAAGAAGAAATCCTATATATTAATAGCTCATTAGAAAGGTCTGCTTTTTCTGATTCCAATGATAAAAAATTTGATAGGTTTATCTCCAACGGTTTCCAAGGAAAAAATTATTTTAATTTTTGTCATAAGAAATTATGTGTTGGAAAAGGACTTTATATCTGTAAGAAAAACGAGAAAGGTCTCTTTCTAACACATTGTTTCTTATGACAAAAATAGATTTTTTTTTTCTCGAAATTTGTTAGGGATAAACCTATCGAACTTTATATCATTGAAATCAGCAAAAGCAGAACATTCCAATGAGCTATTAATATATAGGGTGTTCTATTGAAAAATTCGCTCTTGTGATTTCTGTGAGTACTGACCTAAAATGAATAATGTGAGCCTTTATTTAATATATTTTGTTTATAAAATCAGCAAAAATGTTTTCAAATATTTGAGTTTAAGAAATGGATGGAAATTCTCAGAATTTTCAAACAATTTCCAATTCATAAAATGTTCCAAAAAGTCTCCTGGAACTTGTAAAATTAAGAGTTTATGTACCTTTTGGGCAAAGGGCAAACCACCGAGGAATTCTTTGCCATAACTGTGGGGTACTTAGAGGAATTCGTGAGAAATTTGAAGGAATTTATGGAAATTTGGAGGAATTTGCGGGAAGTTTGAGGAATTGTTTGCACAAATTCGAGGGGGTGGTTTACCCCTTATAGAAGAGGCTCTAATCCTAATCCATAGGTAAATTCTGAAGGTTTTAAAGTCACAATGACACCTAGGAATATAATAAATATGTATTTTTGAGACTCACAAATGCTATTTTGGGAGAATCCTCTAATTCCCCTAAAGCCGGTCCCAGACGCTACGTGTATTCGGCCAATAGGCGAATATTCGTCATTCGCACGAATCTTCGCCTGATCTCCCACACCGCGAGGTGCTATGGCGAAGGTTTGGCTTAAAATTTGTTCGGCGAACTTTTCAGGCAGATGGCCGTCGATTTTCAGTGGCGTTTCATGCATCACGTTTGTTTTAGTTCAAATGGACAGTGATGAAGAGCAGATTGTTGCCGCCGCTACTGGTGTCATTTTCAGCAGGTATCTTTGGGTTCCAAATGACAGGTTCATTTTCAAATAATTGTAAAAATTCTAACGTTAATTCATCGGTCGAGTCCATTTCTTATTTTAATTAAAAATAACAAAAAATGCAAAAATAGACCTTGCGGCACTGCACACCGCTATAAACTGACAAAACACTATGCATATACTCCCGAAGCGTCTGGGAGCAGTGCGAAGTCACACGTAGTAGTGGACTTCGCCTTCTTTGCTTCGTGCAGAAGGACGAATATTCGCCAAAGTTACCTTCCCACACGCTACGCGAATAAAGCCAAATACCGAATATTCGCCGAATACACGTAGCGTCTGGGACCGGCTTAACATCAACATTGGTTAACGAAAAATCTTGATTGCATTCCTCTAAATTAATTTTTTGGTTATTTTGCTACATAGAAGAAATACTAATGTATACTTAAATTCTAAAACTTTAAAATCATTTCGAAACTTAGAAATATTTTTTAGAGACTTCCAAATGCTAAGCGATTCTTCCCATTTCCTTGAAACATCGATATGGAAAACAATTTTTCGCTCGTGCTTTAAATATTGGAGTTTACAGAGGAAAATTCGCAAAGTTTTCCAGCAATTTTCAAGTTATAAAAGTTCCAAAAAGTCCCTAAACTGGAGCATATCTACTAATTGTTTGATATTGAATATTTTCCATGGTAAACTTCATAAAATCACCAAAAACGTTAAATATTTGAGTTAATATGCACTACTAACTACTAGAGAAAAATCCTCAAATATTTCAAGCAATTTCCAAATCAAAAAATGTTCAAAACAGCTACCTGGAACATTGTTAGTGTTCAACTGTTTCATATTGAACATTTTCTATGGAAAACTTTATCAAATTCACCAAAAAGTTCCTCAAATATTTCAATTTATGTACTGGAGGAAAGTCGTCAAACATTTCGAGGAACTTCTAAATTATGAAATGTTCCAAACAGTCTTCTGGAGCTGTTTGACATTTTTATATTGAACATTTCAAGCTTTTCATACAATTTACAGTTATAAAATGTTCTAAACAGCCGCACCAAGAACATACCTGAAGTTTGTCAAGTTGATATTGAACACTTTCTGTCCCAGAAATGTTTAGCACTCGGTTTAGCACATTAACCAAAAATGGACATTATCAAAATGCTATTATATAAATATTGATAACTGATTTTAGTTTGTGAATAATTTATTGAGAGTCAGCCAGGCAGGTTGAAATAAAACAGAATTAACTTAGAAATCCTCTAATGAAGTTTGTATTAATTATCTTTTTTATTCGATTTTTCAGGTGGACAACAGCACCAACAAATTTTCAGTCCCGGTCAAATAATCAGGACTCCAACAGGTGTTTTGAACAATCAAGCAAACCACTTACCAACCACGGTGCAGCTTTCAAATGGACAAAGTGTACAGGTCAGTTGTAGTAAAATCTGTTCAAAGGCAACATAAGTGGCTTTAATTTGAGTATAATTAAGTTAAGATTGGATTGGAGCAAAGTTGTGAGGCAAAATGTGGGTCGATGTCATTAGTGGAAAAAATCAAGCTCAATTTTATCTCTAAAATTATCAAAAATTAGAGTTCACTTCTCTAGGAGAGCCAGGAATAAGATTTTTATTCTTCTAAGTTGAATTTTAGCTCTATGAGGGTGCAAACTCACCTTCACAAACTTCTCTATCTTAACTATCTGCCTTGAGGTCTGTAACAACTTATATATATTTGAATTTCACGAATATTGGGGTGCAAAACGAAATTCTTGTACCTCTCTATGTCAACTGTAAGTCTAAAAATTAGTGTTTAATACTTTTCTTGTCCAATTTTAACTCAATGAGAGCCAGAAATAACATTTTCATGTTTCTCTAATTCAAATTATTCAGCTCCAAAGTAAAAAAGAATAGTTTTAAACTAACCATAGCTCTAGGTTGGTGCGAAATTTTGGTTCACTACTTATAGTGCAACCCCAAAAAATTTCTCAACCCAAAGAAAACTTAGCTTAGGTACTTTACAGAAAAGTGATAAAAATGTATAACTTCAAGTTCATATTATATTCTTGGGTTTAGAATACAATAATTTTAACAAAGATGGATGTCCCAAAGAAATTTTTTGGTTATCACTTTTCCAGGTACGACAGGCGCAGCCCCAAGTGTTCCAGTTTCCGATGCAGCAAACCATACCCATACAAGTACCCATTTCGTCCGGAAACGGACAAACCGTCTATCAGACTATACATTTTCCTGTGCAATTAGCAGCCACTGCTGCCGTTCCCAATATAATCCAGGTAAGATTTTTTTAAGTTATGCTTGTTTTTGGTTAATGGGGTTTTATTTTCCAGGCTCAGCCCCAATTGATACCCCAAATGGCCAGTATTTTGACCCCGTCTGGGCAAATACAACAGATACAAATCGCCTCATCGATACCTCAACAACAGCAGCAGCAACAACAGCAACAGGCCCAAGTCCAGGTGCCCACTTCTGTTGCTCAACAAGTTGTTACTGCTGGAGATGGAAGTGGACAACTTACATTTACAGGTACAATGAAGGCGAAATTCTATCAAGAATGGATTCTAAAGTTCAAGCAAACTTATCTAAATTTAAGGTGAAATAAATCTAAGCTTTTTTTGGACACTTTTTTTTATTGAAAATTCATTGTCAGTATGTGCCAATACAGCAGCGAATAACGTTTCCATCTGTCAATTTGTTTTTCCAAAATTATATAGTAACATCAAACCATAAGAATCTAGCCCTGAAGATGACACAAATCAATGTCGAAACGTTGGCTTGATTTGAATTTTCAAAATGTCCAAAAAAGCTGAGATTTATTTCATCCTAAATCTGAATTGTAGACGAAATCTACATCCTTATTTAAATTGTTTGTTTTTTTCTAGCTGCTAACGGACAACAGTTTACCCTTCCAGTGTCCAACTTGCAAAATCTGCAACAAGTTAGGACGCTTGGCAACATTGGCGGACTTGGCAACATTATCCAGATACCGAATATCCAAACTATGCCCACCATCCAAAATATTCCAGGTAAGAATAATTGTTTGAGCTTTTGGATTTTTATTGGTTCTCTGCTGTGTGAGAAATATTTTCAGGTTTATAGTTTTTGACTAAATTTCGATTAAAATTCAACTTTTAGGCTCAATTGCTCAAAAAGTATTTGAGCTATCAGACTCAATTTAGCATAGATTTATAGAGAATTTAATGCTCTTTCTAATAGTGTAACAAAATTTAGAAAATATAATGAAATTTTTGATTCTTTCAGGAATCGGCAATGTCCAAGTGATCTCTCAACCGCAAATAGCCGTCGGCCAGCATATCCAACAAGACCCCACCGACCCGACCAAATGGCAAATCATACCTCAGCAAGTCACTACTCAGCAGGCGGCGCCGCAACCAACACAAATCGGCACGCCGATCAGCGTCAGCACCGTCGAAGCGCAGCCCGCGCCGTCGCCGTCCGCTTCTGATATCACGCAAAACGGCGAACAGAAGCAGCGCGTCAGACGCGTAGCGTGTACCTGCCCTAATTGTCAGGAAGGCGAAAGGCATTCGGATAGGAAGAAACAGCACATTTGCCACATACCTGGTTGTAATAAGGTTTATGGAAAAACTAGTCATTTAAGGTAAATATTTTTTTTTTGTGTTTGGCCTATTTGTGATAACGCATGAAAAAACATTGTACGCAGGTTTCAGATTTTGACAGAGATGTCAATTTTCATTTCAAAGTACGTAGTTTTAGTATAAAGGATTTGACGTACCGGCGATTTTTTTGAGTACTTTAATGAAATCATTATAAGTACTCAGTACTGTAATGAAATCATTAAAGTACTCAAACAATTTGACACTTACAAATAAAATCCACAATGATGTCATTTTGACAGGTCGGAATATAAAATATTGTTTGAAATTCGGATCATAAACAATCATTATCCTCACTATCTTAAATAAAAACCTCCTGACTTCAATAGAGACCCTGACAGTGCAGAATAATCTCTACATGGAGGAAATCAGGAAGCTAAAGAACGAGTTGTGTATCGGCATCGATAGATTTATTCCAGACCCATCACCAACTTCCATCCTGAACAACTCAAAACCTACTGAATCCAAAATACCCAAACATCAGATTCTACTGTTTGGTAATAAGTCTTGTGTGAGTGGATCTGGGCTGATGGCCAAATCTTTTACTCAGAGCAGATACGACATGAATTTTCAGTACTCTGACTCAAACGTACCAGTGCAAACACTCGTCGAACAATTCAGTCCATTATGCAAGAACTTCTCGAAAAAGGATTTTGTCATCCTCTTTGCTGGGTTGGCTAATGCTTTGCAGGGGAATGTCACCATCAATGACTCCTGCTGGGACAAAATCGCTGATATATCCAAAAGAACTAATCTGATAATAGTCACTCCTCCATACTGTGATAACAGGAAAGTTCTCAACAACTTTATTTATGATTTTAACTTGGGCATAAAAAAACAACTGCAGCAGAGATGTATAGATTGTTCTCAAATATCCTGTGACAGCTTCATGTCCACCTACGAACGTAGTTACAACGGCTCCCTACACTATGAAATCAAACGGAGAATAATCAAGTTTATCTGCAACGAATTGCTGGCCCCTCAAAATTTTCCTCCAGGCAATCACTTGCTTACCCTACGTTAGGTGACCCAGAACCAAATGCTACCGTCACGTCCCCTCAAACAAATAATTGTATCGGCGCAGTCTCACATAATAAACAGATCACAGTCTCATATCAGAACGTCCGTGGACTGAGATCCAAGACAGTGGCATTCCAGCAGGAGGTGATAAATTGTAATCATGACGTTATTGTACTGACGGAGACGTGGCTGAATGAAGGAATCACTAGTGAAGAATTATTTCCTCCAAACTATGTTGTGTATAGAAGAGATAGAAACCCAGAACAAACAAAAAAGTCAAGAGGTGGTTGAGTTATTATCGCAGTAGAACGTTCCTTTGAATCATCAACCTGCACAGTGCCAGACAATGAAGTAGAACAAGTCTGGGTCAGCTTACGGTGCGGGAACATCAACAACCTTTTGGCGGCTATCTACATACCTCCATCCTCTAAGGCAGTAGTCTATGATAACCTCGTTACTTCAGTAAGTTATATGCTAGACCGTTTTCCAAGGTCCAATGTTTTATTACTGGAAGATTTCAACCTTCCGAACTATGCAAACTCATTTGCCAAAGTTGAAACTTGTGCATCCGACATAGTTAATAACAATGACATTAACCTATGTTCAGCTGGTGGTGACGATGAACTCAATAAAATCTTCACTTCCAGTGATCAACGGGAACAAACACTTTACGACTGTGCGTGTTTTTACGATCTTGTCCAGTACAATAATGTCTCCAACTTTAATAATGCAAAACTGGACCTAGTTTTCTCAAACTTCTCAAATGTATCTGTATCGAATAATATGTCACCTTTAACCTGTATTGATACCCATCATCCTGCTTTAGTAATTGGGTTCTGTATTGATGCTACAAAGGATAATGCATCGGATTTGCAACTTTTTAAGTACAACTTTCATAAAGCAAACTACGATCATTTAAACGATTACTTCGAAATTATCGATTGGAGTTTTTTGCAGTGCGGCGACATTGATAACGCCCTGGAAATGTTTTATACTGTACTTTACATCGCAATCGACCTGTACGTTCCAAAGACAAGAATTTCTACGCTAAAATACCCTAACTATTTCTCTAAAAAAACAATAGCTCTAATTAACAAGAAAAACAAAGCTTTTAAAAAACATAAACGAACGAAATTAAACTTAGACGAGCTTCAGTACAAAAAACTGAGATCAGAATCAAAAACCTCGATAAAGAGGGACTACGATTCCTTCGTCCAAACTGCTCAAAATAATATTTTGAATAACATTAAAGCGTTCTGGTCTTACATAAAGTCTCAACGTAATTCTGTCAGCTATCCTGCGAAAATGACTTTCAATAACGCTGACTCTAGTGATCCCAAAGTCATCGCGGATTTTTTCGCAGATTTTTTTCAGTCTACATTCACAGTTTCTGATCCCGCAATCACTATTAACCCATTACGTTTTTATATTAATAATGTTGTCCTTTCAACTATCAGAGTTAACTGCGACATTGTGCTCCAAAAACTTATTGGATTGGATGAAAAAAAAGGAGCAGGACCAGATGACATACCCCCAATCTTCGTAAAAAATTGTTGTCCGACCCTGACATCTCCACTTAACACCCTATTTCAACTCTCTCTCAGCTCTGGAAAATTTCCGGACCTCTGGAAGACTGCCATCGTAACTGCTATTTTCAAAGGTGGTGAGAGGGGAAACGTCGCTAACTACCGCCCAATTTCGGGCCTGGATTGCATGGCCAAGGTTTTCGAGTCCATAGTAAATGATGAGCTTTTGTCAACTCTATACAACTGCCTCTCTGAAAATCAGCACGGCTTCCTGTCCGGTCGCTCATGCCAGACAAATTTATGCCTTTACTCTCAATACGTGTCTGCAGCTATTGACTCAGGGGACCAGGTCGACTCAGTTTATTTCGACTTTAGAAAGGCTTTCGACAGGGTTGACCATCTTATTTTGATCAGCAAACTTGAATCATTTGGCGTCACAGATCCTCTTCTAACATGGATTGCAAGTTACCTTTGTAACCGAACACAATTCGTCAGGTTTGGTGGTTCCATATCAAGAAAAATAATGGTGACATCCGGAGTACCCCAGGGCTCTCATCTAGGTCCTATATTGTTCCTTGTGTTCATCAATGACCTAGCCAACGTACTTACCAACTGCCATTTCCTCCTTTACGCCGACGATCTAAAAATCTTTAGGAAAATCACTAGAAGTCTCGATTGTTCAATTCTACAGCTCGAGATCGATAAAATATCAGAATGGTGCACATCTAATGGAACAGAATTAAACATCTCCAAATGTAAATCAATGTCTTTTTCTCGAAAAAAGCGCCCAACATTGCACACCTACTATATTTCAAGTTCTCCGCTCCCCAGAGTAGACCTTATAAATGATCTGGGAGTAATTTTTGATTCCCAATTAAGATTCAACAACCACATAAATCATATCCTGTCCAAAGCTTTCAAAATGGCAGGGTTTATAATGCGAAGATGCTGGGAGTTTTCTAATGTCGAGGTACTAAAATCTCTCTATTTTTCGTTGGTGCGAAGTCACCTTGAGTATTGCTGCGTGATCTGGTCACCATATTACCAAATCCATATTAAACGCATCGAACGAGTTCAAATGAAGTTTGTTAATTTCCTATTATATAAACTCGGAATCGACAAAAACCTATTTTCCCACCAGGATCGTCTACAAATGCTGAATATACAAAGCCTGGAGATGCGTAGGGTTTTCCTTACACTAACATTCGGTTTCAATATAATTACCTATAACATAAATTGCTCTGATCTCTTAGCACTTATGAACATTCGAATACCATCTGTCAATACACGTTTAAACGACATATTTTTAACTAATAGAAGCCGAACCGACGTTGGCAAAAACAGTGCTATGAACCGTATTATGCATCTTTTCAATACATATATTCCGATGAATGTCGATTTCAACTGCACTCCAATCACCTTCAAAAATAAGTTGAGATCGATATTGGCTCAATGATTTCAGACAATTCACTTGGAAAATTTACCTCTCTAATTGGTTGCAACTCCGATGTATGGGCGTGGACATTTATTTACTTAACCCTTCACTTATTAATTTATTATGTGTTTATTATTATAATTATAGACCTAGTATATAAGTTATACCATTTGGAGCTTCCTCTGTTGTGTATTATATTAAATAAATAAATAAATAAATAAATAAATAAATAAATAAATAAATAAATAAATAAATTATGGCACATCCGTGTTATCAGACTCGGTTAACGCCTCGCCTGATAATATTCACGGCAAGCACCATAATGATTGTCATTATGATCCTTATGACATAAATATCTATTACTATTCAACATTTTCTTGGTTTCAATTGGCTGCATCCAAAATGACAGTCTTGATTTGAGGCATACCTCGAATTGTTTTCGGGATATCTTCCGTGCCCCAGATAGCATAAAATTGATGCAACATGTGCACAGACACCCAACGTTTTGGCACCTACTTTACATGTGCAGCCAGTGCCTGATATTGGATCAACAATATTCTCGTTGTTTTCGTGGTGGTAGGCAACGAAACATGTATGTTGAGCTGCCTGTACGTGTCTAGAGAAAATTCGAACTCTAATCAGATTCTGATCAATCTGATGGGCCTCAAATCCGTCAATACCTCTTCTTTTTTTGTCTTGTACGTAAGCAGGTGCCAATTTCACTTGGTATGTACCAAATGTTTTTGATATCAGGTATTCCACAGGTAATATGGGAAACTGAAAGACATCTTCTATATTTATTCTTCGTCCACCATGTCTCAAGAGATTTCCATTTTCCACTCTCTGTTGTAAAAGATTTGGCTGGGCAGCTAAATGGAGCATTTCTTGTGCAGTTTCAACATTGAAACCTGGAAGTAGTTTTGAATTACTTTAAAATAGCTAAGATAACATAATTTGTGCATATTGTTTACCTAATTTTTCATGAAAATACTTAAAATTATGT